ACCATTGATGCTTGAATACAGTAAAAAATTGGAAAGAAAAGTCTACTTGCAACCCTAGTAGCATTCACTTGATCTTCTCTGCCACCAAAGATCTTGACCATTCCGATGTCTGAAATTTTTAGATTCATCCGGCCATCCAACAAGATGGTTATTTGCAGGCTTCAGATCCCTATGAATAATTCTTTAGTCTAGAATCTCTATGAAGGTAAACAGGACCTCGACAAATTATTTGGACAATTTAGAAGCGCCTCTTCCAATCTAATTGTTTAACCATAATTGATCTACGCAAATTGTCCCCAGAAGAAAAAATTAACAGTGAAAGAAAATCATCACCAACCCAATTTAAGCGCGTGATTTACACGCGCCACAAGAAAATTAGAAAACACTGGCAGTATAGTCCTTTGATGAGCAGAACATTGGTGCCAAAAAAAAAAGAAGCATTGACCAACTTCAATTAGTAATTTCATCGGTAACTAAATTGCCAATGAGATATTATATCATTTATTCCACCACCAAAAACTAAATATTGCTTATATTTCTAATAGAATCACGAACAAAAAAAAAATTGTTAATGAAGCTTAGTATTTTTTTAGTTATGTAATTGTTAATATAAAAAAACAAAAAAATCATAATAAAATCAACACTATTAATTTTATTAAATTCAATATTCATTAAAAATAATTTTACAATAATAAATGCACATTACACAGATGATGGTGAAGGTGGAGGGGGGTGTCCTAGGCAAAAATTAGGACCACAAGGAGGAGCAGGATTATGTAAAGCCACAAGTTTCATCATTTTTTTTCTGAATTCTACCTATTTTCTTCTTCTAATATGCCTTTCATTTCTTATTTTAATTTGGTCACTTGCTCCTCGACCAGTTCTAGAAACCTTGCTTTAAATTCTAGTGTCGACTGGCTTAGAACTATTGTGTGCCTAGAGTTGAAACAGTATAAACCTGATTCAGTCAATTGTTCTAGCCTCCAACAATAACTGACGATCCTAAGGAGGAAGGGTGAAAGTTTTTTTTTTCATGTTTTTCAAACATCACAGCTATTTTATATACAAACTTCTTCACTTATTTTCCCCTATCCATATTTGTAATATGAGTTTCCTCGTATAACTCTATCTAAATAGACTTGCACCCAAGATGTTGTTCCTACAAAAGAAAAATAAGTTGTAAAATGTCTAACAAATAAAGAGTTAGTAAAAAATTAAAAAAAAATCATTTAAATTTTTATCAGATGATTTGCATAGTTGAAAAATCAGTGTAATTCATTGGTGTGCTTGCTCATCAAACTATATATTTCTTTGTTTCAATTCTACAACTCAAATTGCAATCGCCTTCTGAATTTTTGTATGCCAAAAAGTCTTAAAACTTTACCCCATTATTCTCGGTGATGTACTTAGTTTATACTTCTTCAATACCTTGACATCATCAGTGTTGGCTTGGAATTTTGTATATTTATGCATATCATATAACAAAACAAGCATGTGAAAATTTTTGTTAAATATGCATAAGATTTGGAAATTTAAGATTATAGTTTAAAAAAATGATAATTGTTTGATACTTATTTAAATATTCTAGGTTTTTCCCTTGTTTTCCTTGCCACCCCCTCATTTTCCCTTTTTTTATAAGATTTTGCCCGTATTGTCAATTTTTAAGTAAAAGCTATAATAAAACTATTTATTTTTATATTTCATCTAATTTTATATACACTAATATTTTTCAATTTAAAAAGTATAAAATTAATAAAATTATCAACCCCTAAAAAATAATTTTACATATATAACCTTTTAAATGAATCTCAATAATTTCAAGAATGATCATTCATTGATTATAAAATTTAAATAAAATAATATTAATTTTATTAATTTCATAAAAATTCAATTTTTTTAAAATTTCAACTTCACAATAAAAATTGATAAAATATAAAATAATAACAATAATTTCTTTAATTATAATATACCTAAGTTAAAAAATCAAACTTAATTTTATCAAATGACAATAAAATTTAATTTTTTTTGAATCCCAAACAAACCCAGCATATAAATCTATTTAAAAAATTTGAATCAATAAAATTATGAGTTTTTCATAACTCAATAAATAAATAAAAAATAATTCATTATATTTGTCACACCTTGAAAGACATTAATCCCCCTCTCTAAATTGAAATGGATGAATACATATCAAGAAAAATTAGAAGTTTATCATCTAATAATTAGAAAGAGTTAAGAATTTAAAAAATTAGCTTTAATTTAAAAAATTCAAGTAACAAATTATTTATATTTAAGAAAAAAACGACATCACCCTTAATCTATATTTCTTACAAAAATATTACCTTTACTATTTGTCCTCTAAAATTATCTTTTTTATTGCTTTTACTAATCCTAATTTTGTTTAGTTTATTTTTAATTTTTTTCTCTTTATCAGAGAAAAAAACTTGACTTCAATCCCTGAAAATTCAAAATTTGTTGATTTGATTATTGGTAAAAAAAAATAAAATTGAATCTTGACAGTGGTTAATAGGTCTGGGATAGAATAGAAAGTTGGAGTTCAATTCCTTCTTCGAACGAAGTCCTAGCTTTGAAACCTAGTCAATCCCAAGACATATAATGGAACTGCCTTTTTCAAAGGAAAATTGTTATTTTAGTTATTCATTAAAAAAATTAATATTTTTCCTCTGAAAAAAGCTTGTTTTTGCAAAATTTTGATATTAGTCTAAAAGGAAACTTATTATCTAAATCATTTTTAACATGAGCATTAACCTATAAAGATGATAATGGGCTGCCGTTTGCTGCTGGTGTAGGGCTTGTCGTTGCTACTGGTGGGGCAGAGAGGTGGTTGTCGTTGGTGGTGACCGAGAGTGGACTCCAGACTTTGCTATTATTGTGGCCGAGTCTGTGGTGAGAGAAACAGCGTGAAGAGGTGGAGATTGGGCAAGTAGGAAGCCCGTAGAGAATGGTGGTCGATCGACGGTGACTGTCAGAGATGGTGGCTGGTATGGTAAGGGGGTTGAAGATGGTGATTTACGGCCTCGGGTTGGGTCCGGAGAAGAAGATGAAGGCTGGAATGGGTTGACTTTGGTGGGTTTTTCTTGGGCCGGTTACAGGTTATGTGGAAAAGGGCCCGTGGGAAGAGGCGTAGGCTGCTGTGGAGGATGAGGGTTTATGAGGGGAAGGTTGAAGTGGATGGGTTGCCTCATGAATTAATTGGGGACTAAATCGAATTAATTTGATAAAATTATTGGACTAAATTGGGCTGGATTGAACTAATTGTAAACAAAAAGTACTGAAATGAAGTTCAATCGGTCTCCCGAATATTTTCTCCTTTTCATAACAGTTATTGACTTTTAAGGGCTTTCAATCTCTGGTTTCTTCAAATTAATCCTTAAATTGATCTTTTTCAATGTAGCTTCTTCTTCTTCTTTTAAAAAAAATATTCATCTTTGTTTTTTTTAATTCCTCTAATTTCAAAAGAATTATATTTTTCTTTTCAATTTTGTTCCTAATTGAATATTTGGACCTCCAAAATTTAACTTCTTGTTGCAAATTCATGTCCCTATAATTATACAATTTTAACAAATTTAACTTTTAATTTTAATTTTTTATTCAATTAAGCCCTTAATTGATTCCTAACTTAATCATTTATTTTAAACTCATCATTGCACTTCCAATTTCTTTCAATCTTATTCAAATTAAATCAATTTAAGTTATTTTTTCAATTTCATCTTCAATTGAAACCACCTAAGAAATTCTCAAACTCAATTTTTGTTTTTGATTCTCGATTATTTGTTCAATTTCATTCTCAACTTTATTTTTTTATTTTTTTATTTTTCTAATGATTTTCATGGTTTTTTAATACATAAAAATTTAATAAAAATAATCAAATGACTAAATTTACTGAAAAAAACATTTTTTGTGTGTGTTTTTTTTTGTAATATATACAAAAATAAGGGGTGAAAAATTAGGTTAGAATAAGGTCAGTAAATAATAAGGGTATAACTAAGCATACCAATAACATATATAAACATAGTTTAAATTATGTTACTCTATTAGTGTACTAAAAGTTAAAAAATAAAATATAAAAATAAAAGAGGAAAAAAAAAGTGTTTGCACTGCACGTCCAAGCAAAAGAACCTCTACTAGATATGACATTATAATAAATATGCATGATGGTCTATCACACATGCTAGTAATAAATAAATATTATATTCAACTATTTACATATAGAATAATATTGTTCTATTAGAATAAGTATTTTACCTTTTATAACTCAACATTCTATATCAAATTAATAATTAAAAAATCACAAAATAATAAATAAAAATAAATATTTTATCGTTTTCTAGAACCCATTTATGAGATTTGAAGACTTTAAGTTTATATGATGCTAATAATCTATTATAGGATATATCCATCCAGTCTCCAACATATCTCCTTGGATCTCATGTTCTAAATTGATTATAGGTTTTCCTTTCAATCACATAATAGTTTAGCATCTATATCACAAATACACAATAGTAAACTTTATATAATTACATTGAATTATCTCATTTATTTTATTGTTTTAATTCACTTAATTTTATGTAATTCAAGATATGGTTCTAATGGTAAGTTTAAATTTAAAAAAATAAATTTACTTATAATATTCTATTAACTACCGCTATCAATAATTAAATCAAATAAGATTTCTCAAACTTTAAGGTTACAAATCTAAAATGTAAAGAAAACTTTATTTCATATATTTTAAAATTCAATAATTATATAACCATTATAAAAATAACATATCAACTGTTTACATTGTTGATAAACTGACTTATATTATTTTTTTTAAAAAAAAAAACAAGAGCTGATAAATTGTTTTTAAAACAACTGTTTAGTATTTCAAAGTCAGAAATCTTTGTGCTTCATGATGATTACATTGTCTTTAGCAATGTAATGTTCTACAATGATAAACTATATTAATATCTAATAGAAAAGTAAACTTGATCTGAACTCTATCGGCCGTTAAGATCAGAAATCGTCACATTGTTAATGGAATTTATCTTTTGGTTCTGTGTAATGGACTCTGTATCCACGGAACTCTGCCTTTCAACAAATGCTGGTTTCTTTGGAGGAGGAAGATCCACAATTTCACTATTTAGCATGGAAGTGATAGTTGACACGGCCGGTCTATCTTTTGCCAATTCCTGCACACACAACAGACCAATATGTATGCATCGGAATATCTCCACCTGAAAACAAGGATCTGACATTGCAGGGTGGACCAAAGCTGTAATGCC